CAGGTAGAAGGCATTCATCAGTCAGAAATTCAAAACAACAAAATACTAACTGTAAACGTTTCCCATAAAAGCATTGAAGCTGCATGCATGCATGCATGCACCTGTCCAACTTAAAACAAAAGGGGTGACCAAGTTCCAGGATAAAGAGGTGTCCAAGATATAGGGTATTGTGGATATGTAAAATTATAGGATATTCGCCGGTTCCAATTAAAAGTGTCCAATATAGAGGGGTGTCCAGGATATAGGGGTGTCCAGCTAGAGGGATTTTACTGTATATTGTAAAATCCGAGCCGAATCTGTGGGGAATTAGCGACCCTGTCGCTTTGTTAGTTATTGCTTTAAATGTAATTTTTAAAATCTCATTGACTCGTGTCTGCCCAGAAGAACAACTTCAGCTTTAATGTAAAATCTCACTGCGCCTTGTAATATACTGCCGAAGTTTCACTGTCCATACCTGATACCACGAGCACGTGTTCAAGCGGATTTTATCGATTCAGTAGACTAATTCTCGCCGTGCTAGAAGAGTGACGTTTTTCTTTCACGTGTTTTAAAAGTGTTAAGTATTCAGCTCGTCTTAACGACAAACTTGCCTTTCGGTGTTGTTTTTTGCGACCTTTCTCTCATAAGCTCTTCATTAGGGAAGGGGAGGGGTGGGGGTAAGTAATTAAGATGGCCGATACGAGGCTCAAGGGTGTGTTGCCAAAGATGCATGCTCGGGGCGACTGTAAAGATAGCTACAGTGAGGATTTACTTTAAGGGGTTGGGGGGTTGGAATGGGGTCGAACGAAGATATCGTGAAGCTAAGTAACGTAGGGCTCACACAGCAGACAGCCCCAGTCTTACCCCTCGTGGATCTCCACTAACCCCATCCCCGTCGACAAGCTAAGAAGAAAAGGTTGTTTCTTTTTCTTTAAAAAAGGTAAAAAGAAAGTTTGTTTGGTGTTCATGCTTATATCAGTGCAAGGAGGGGGAGGTTGAACTACGAGAGGAAAGGGAGGTAAGGAAATAATGTCGCGCAATCAATACGAATCATGCAGCGGAAGAGGAGGGTGTGTATTGGCAATATACTTTTTTCTTCTCCCCTTCGTCCTACCCAATTTTTGGTTTCCTTTTCAATTCTATTCTGCCGTTCTTCAGTTCCTAATTAGAGCTCTTTATTGTACGTTGTACAGTCTCAGGAAAGATATCTGCATCTTATCAGTTTGTGTAAGCTTTCTTTTTAAAATGTTTGTCAACATTCTGCGCGTGTCGGCGCACAGAATGAAGTCCTCTCGTCTAATTTCTCATTGCACCTCAAAATATGTGTAAAGATTGTCCCACTTAACGTGGAACCCACCACGACTAAATTCCGAAGCAGTAGCGAGCGAACTACCGGGAAATGAGTCAGTTACTGGTAAGCGACGGGTGTGTTCTGCACGCACTGTCCTATTGGAGTTATTTGCTACACTGCAGATGGGAAGATTTTAGAGAAATGCGTAAAGAATTTTGGTTGGGAAACGTTTCAGCGCATATGGGAGGATTATGTTAAAATTAATTTTAAATAAATATTAGGTCCGTGTGAGGGTGTGGACTGGGTTCATCCAGTTGAGGGTAGTGTCGGTGTACGGCGGTCAGACAAACTAAATTCCGAGCTCGCTTGTATGGAGACAACACGTGTTACGTGAACATCCCCGAGCGATCTCCCTGGAAATTGCCTCTGTCTTTAGGTTTAGGTTAAAGCATTTCCCAAGCGCCGAGTAATTTTAAAGCTTTAGCTCATTTTCTCCTCGCATTTCCACGCCATCCTTTTTTATATCGGAGAATTCTGCAGGCTGCAAGTCGTAAATTTTGATCCAGTTTCTGTCACGTGTCTTACTGCAGAAACGCATAATGATACCGGACCCAAATTTATACTGAAGAAACTATCTTCAAGTAATAATTATTACGAAACGTCAAGCTTTCCCTGTGACACACGATGCGGGAGAAGGGAGAAGTGGAGTTAAGATTAAAGGAAAATGTACAAAGTACAGGAAACAAAGGCATGTACAGAATTTTAGTTGGGAATCGCTTCTCCGTCACGTATATTGCTAATATTTAAAGGCATCGAGTCTTTTATCTTTGCTGATACTTTTTGGTACCCTCTTATTCTTTCTAGATTTGTTTAATGACTACTTATCAGCTAAATGCATATGTGGTAGAGTGAGTACGGTTTGTGAGTTGAGGAGGCGCTTTTAAAACATTACTGAAGCATTTTCAATGGAAGTATTTGGAAAAACCACAAGTTATATAGATAGGATTTTACCTCTTTCTTGTCAAGGTAGAGACATGAATGCTGTCATTCATGTTTATATCACGTCATCAGATTTCATATTACGTTTGCGAAGGATAAATAAAAAATGCTACACTTTTATATATTATGCGTGTATTTATCTATATTTTCATGAAATTTCCTTTCCTATGGGGCATGAAACCCTATGGTCTACCGTAGAAGACTACAAAAGTTTGCCTTCCTATTTATTACAACTTGTAGTGTTTTGTCCTCAAATATCTTCGTTTCAGTTTTTTACATATTACGTTATTTTATTTCTCTGTTCAATCTCCGGTTTTCTCTTCTTCTCATTCTACTTATCTGATTCCTATTCGTCGTTTCCTTTTTACGTCTTGTTATCTTTTATTCCTTTTTGTCCATCCTCCATTATTTTACTTATTTCCATTGTGTTCAGTTCTTCGCTGCTGTTCATTTGGCATAAGTTCGCTTCCTCAATATTTAATTCTCCTTTTATTTCGATTCGTATTTTTCTTATTCTCTAATTGCACTTTGTTTTCTCTGCTCTCCTTTTAATATATTTACCATCATTAATCCATTATTATCTCCTTGTTCTCCCGTTCGCATTTCTTTACTCCCTTCTTCGTACTCTCTTTCAGTTTTTCTGCTATTTTCTTAGAGCTTTTTCTCTCTCCTAATTGTCTTCCATTTCACACTGCCATCTCCCATAAGCTCCGAAGGCTTCACTGCTGAAGATTTCAAACCTACAATGAAACAGGCAATCCCCGGTCTGACCTGTTCCAGTTCCCCGTGTGCTGACACGCTGCTTGAGGTAATATTACGATCAGACTTGGCTGACCCCCGTCTCTCTAACCCCTCACACACACACACACACAGGCACGCGGGGGTGCGAGGTTATTGCAGGCAACAGCTGGAGTAGCGTGACGTCACAGGAAACAAAAGAAGAGCGTTCAGTCCGTTGTCAGCAGGCCTTCGTTAAACATAATCACTCACCTTGTCAGACTGATTTCTGCTACTTGTCTGAATATCAGGGCGGTCACCTTGATGATGGGGGCAGCAAGCACTTACGAAACGTCGGACTACACCGCGCAACATCCCAGAAGAGAGTCATCTTCTGTCTCGCCGTTGAATCAAGTGTCAAAACTGACACGGTCTGTTTTGATTCTATTTGGGTTTTAAGCGTGGACCCGACAGAGGATACATTTTGATGTCCGTTTATCTGAACGTACGAAGCGTTTTAATTATTTTGTTTAAATGTTAAGTATTTTGATATTAGACCGGAGCGAATGTCTGACTGTGCCAGACAACAAGCAAACAGTTTGTCACTGAGATCTAGACCGGAGCGAATGTCTGACTGTGCCAGGCAACAAGCAAACAGTCTGTCACTGAGATCTGAGGTTGTCATGACGATTTTGAGACCGTGCGTGATGCTAATGTTTCGGAAAGAATATTGTCTCAATTCTCAGTCCTGAAGATGGAATCATCGAACATACTGTTTATTTCCGGCCGAAATTTTGCAAGTACCTTGTGTTAATAACAACTTCATCTCAGAGCTGAACGCAATATTAAAAACAAATTCTGTTTCTTAACATCATATTGGGTGCTGGGCGGGCTAATCCCCGTTTACGAAGGAACAAACCACCCCTTGGTATGGCAGCACCAGAAGAAGAATACACCCCCTACCCTCCTGCAACAGCTGGTCTGGCTCCAGTAAACGCTGCCGAGGCAAGCGATTTGTAACCCATCTCTCTGTGCACACACACACACACACACGAACGAATCATCAATAAAAATTTCCCGCCCTTTTCTCTTTAACCCCCCCATAAACCCTCA